ACTTCTTATTATTTATTATTTCATAAATAGCATTTTCAAGTTGTTCTTCCGTAAATGACGTAATTTCTAAATATTTTCCAATACCAAGAGCTTCCATTCTTCTTACTTGATAATCTTGATCTGCCAATATTGGAAAACCAAGAACTGGTACTGCGAAGCGAATAGTTTCTTCGCTACTTTGTACGCCTCCTTGATAAATAAATAACTTAATTTTCGGATGAGCTGTGAGGATGAACAGAGAGAGATAAATATTTTCTGTGTAGAAATAATATTTAAGGAATAAATATTTTGTACTAAATAAAGATTATACCAAGAATACTTTGTTGAGGCAACCACTTTCCGATGTAAACATTTTTTGATTTCTCAGGTAAATCTTCTTCGTATTTCCATACAACTTTGTACGGTAATTTTGCGAAAACATTACAAAATATACGTTTAATTTCTTTTGGTATAGTAGAACTTCTTGCGTTGCTACCGAGACTGAAATAGATGAAGCCTTCTTTTGCATCGTCTAAAAATTTTTGTAAATTCTGCAATAAAAATAATTTAAATAAAAAATTATACACATTTGTGCAAAAATCTATATTTTCGATCAATGATAACAATTAACTTTTTTGTAGTTCTGTATCTATATGTATATGTTGTTAATAATAAGTTGTTAATAATTTATGGTACAAATAAGATCTTAGGCTTTAAAATGCAGAATAATAAATAATTTTTGAAATTTTGTTTTCGAATAAATCAAGTTTGAAAATTTTTCAAATAAAAGTAAAATTAACCACCTTTCCACATAATTTCTTCCCTCGTTATTCTTGATTTTCGTCTTATTTCATAGAGAGTTAGAATCTCTTTAATCCTATTTGTATCATAAATTATCTTGTATAAATGTTTATGATCTTCTATATATTTCTATATAAATTATGCTAATTGTAATTCTATAACTTATCTCATCTATTGATAAGATAATATAATATTCTTATATATTTTTCAAACATACAAATTCAATAATAATCAAATTTCTATTAAATAAAATCTACCTTCGGCAAAGGATCTGGATTTTCAGATACGTGAAAAGAACTGAATCTAATTATATTTGGAAGTATTGGTCGTCCCGGTGTTAAAACATCGGCTTCATTAATAAAAATCATGCTAACATTCTTCATAATATCTATCAAAGGCGGCAAAGGCCCAAAATATTGCTCTGCCAATTTTTGCTCCTTGGGGAATATATTGAAATTCATATGTAACAGTAAACGCCATGTTTTCACAAAATTGAGCAACCTTTTATAAAACGGTAAATTTATGCCTGTATTTCCTTCATTTTCCCATAAATATTCATGAGAAGGAAGCACTGCTCCTCCAAGTACAAAATCATTTATACTAAGCAATCCTAATGAACTTAATCCTACGATCATGCAAAACATGATTATTTTTCTTATTTTCAAATCATTCACAATTGTAAAAAATATTAAATAAATCATATTAAATAAATACCTATTAACGAAGCGTTAAATCTGTAGGCAAAGGCGTATATAGCTGGCATGTAGAGCAACTCCGTTAAGAAGACATCGAATTTTACATTGCTATCCGGTGCATACAGCTTTTGCATTTCTGTGGAATTGAATACTTGAATCTCGAAGGAAGAACACAAAGATAATAAATATTTCTCCAATGCTTCCATCCAATTAACTTTTTCGAATCGTAGCTTGACAAAGTCTACGGTCCTTAAAGAATTGTAACTTTTACTTATATCGATTTGAGTGAAATTTGGCGAGTTGATATTCTTTATGGGATTCGTAGTAACCAACACAATTTCGTGACCACGTGCGTGCAATTCTAGCCATAACGGTTGATACGGAATTTGATGGCTATAAGATGGTGTTGAAATAATGGCCAAGATCTTGTAGCACTCTGATTGATTCACAATGCATAAGATGCACGAAATGAAAAATAGTTTTGTAACGTTCCGTTTCATGCTTCTCGTGTTCGAAGAACAAACTGACTCGTTCAACGGTTACGTGCCTATTAAAACGGATATCACAATATTACCATCAATTTATATAATGGGAACGACAATCATATATCTGTATATACTACATTTTGAAACAAAAAAAGTGTTATCGTTTAATTATAGTTATCGTTTAATTATAGTTTAAATTTATTATCACATTCATTATCTCAAATAATATGTATATGATAAGTTTATTTGAATATGAATTTGGATATAAAGCATATTTCTATATATTCATATTTTTACAGGTATAAATATATTTCGTGATCAAATACTAATAGAGATCGATTCAGTGAATATTGTGAATTTTATAGTGAAAAATAGTAATTTTGAAAATAGAAAACATAGTGGTTAAAAATATTTTTATTATGGGTTTTTTAGAATCACTATTATTTTCGGATATTTTTATATTTCTGCGTGAAAATACTAAATTTTTTGATTGATTGATACGAAAAAGAATAACAGAAATTAGATGTTTGATTAAAGATTATGAATTTAAAGAGTTAAGAAGCTATTTACTTGTTATATAATACATGAAAAATCTTTTCATGTATTGCATATATAATGACTTGCATTTTTGTTTTATAATTAATTTTTGAAATAGGATTTGAAATAAAATATATTATAAACTTATATTATATCTTATATTATTATATCTCGAATCGTATTTAATTATTCTTTTTTATCAATCAAAATATTTATTTTTTTTATAATTCTTAGAAATTCTTTCATTCAATTTTTTTCGTAAATATTGACGATGAAATGGCAATATCGAGAAATATGATAGTGCAAGAAATGATTATGAAATGCGAATATAATATTAAAAAATTAATTACAGATTATTATAAAGATAATCATTGTGTATCCATTATACAATATATATAATATCTATAGTTATATAATTTTCTTTATTTAATTTATAAGTCATAATCAAAAATTATTTTATTGTTCATTTTCACTAATAGATATCATAACATAATGATACATCTTATAAATAACAAAAAAATATAATAGATAATATGAAGTTTTATTACAATTTTAAAATATTAACATGAGTCATCTTTTTGACATATATTTTTCTTGACACGAAATTTGTCATTAAATTCTCAGTCATTCATTTCTAAAAAGAAAATAATTATTTTTCATTATTTGGTGATTTAAATATATATAACTATTAATATTAATAAATATATAATTATAATATCAATAAATATTATAATTATAATTCATTTTGTATCGAAAAATAATTAATTACATTGTACTTAAAATTTAATTTTTCATATCGTAAATTTTCGTAAAAAAATGGCTTCAAAAACAAACAAATAAGAAAATTTTATTTTTTATTTTCGATTTATTTTTTTTACATGGAATCATTTTCTATCCGCTTGCACCATCATTTACAGAACATATATATTCTTAATAAAAAATCTTCCAATATATCTTAATAAAATGTTATATTTAATTTATATTTATTAATTAATTTGATATTATAATAAAATTTTTATATTTACCAATTTATTATATTAATATTAATTTAATGTCTATATTTATTTAGTATCATTTTTGAGCAAGTACAATAAATATCTATTTTTTTATATTTTAAATTGTTAGCTATAAAATATTTTCTCCAGTCATTTTGATTGGAAATAGTAACAGAAATGATGGAAATGGAGGATGACAACAGATGAAAATTTTCAACCCAGAAAAACTGAATTACAATTTTGTCCAGATTTAAAAGTGAAAATTTGTTCATATCTGTTCGATATATGATCATTTATATTTCCGTTAAAACATATTTGTCACTAAAAAGTTCTAACTTTACGACCTTCATGTAATTTAAATATAATTTAAACAATAAGAGATAAATATAATAATCAGCAATAATTATAATAACATAAGTTTGCAACAGTCGTTTTTTAAAAAAAAAATTTATTCATTCTTGTTACATTATAATTCTAAATATATAAATATATATATTATTATTCCAAGTACAAAAAAATTGAATAATAATGATAATATAATTAAATTTTTTATAATAGTAATAAGTATGATAGTATAAAATAAATATTTTTAATTTAATAAAATATAATTTATGATAATAAGGATAATAAATTTATGATAATTTATGATAAAAAGTGAATATTAATAAAAAATAAATAATCATTCTCGATATATGTATACCCGAATAAATTATTTTCATGAGAAAAATATATGATCCAGACTTATCCGCTAAGTGCACTATCTTGTTCTCCTTATTCTTATCTAAATATAAAATTCTTCTTATGTAAATATAAAATTATCCTTATCTAAAAGTATCATTTCCATTTGCAAGAAGAAAAAAAGTATACAGATAATTTATATCTATATACTTCTATAAATCTATATAAATTTTTGTTATAAAAATTCGAGATTTATAAATGCAATAGAATGACATTGCTAAAATATTATACATTGCTAACATATTAACGTTATTTTTTATCACAAATATTACTTTTACAATTTGTATTATTATCTCTTTTTCAAAATATTCTCAAATAATAATTTCTATATAATAAATAAATATAAGAAATAAATATAGAATAATTTCCAATTTTTTTAATAATATATTTTATTTTATTAGTATTAATGACAAATTAATTTTGGTAAAAAAAAAAACACAATACAAAATTAAGATCTCTGTTAATATTTTTTTGAAATTACCATTCAAAATTATATTGAAAAAAATTAAAAAAAATATTAAAACTTTGATTTCGAAAACGTTGCTTTAAAAAGATTTTTCATCGACAAATTACTCTTATATAACTCAATATATATTACATACATAAAAAACTTTTATTAAAATCATTTTTCGAATTAGATGAATTTCCTTGTGAGATTCATGAGCAATTAATAAATCGAATATCGTATTTCATCGTAATTGAATTTCAAATAAAAATTAAAATAAAATTAAATCATCTCTAAAGTTATAATTACATCTCTTCTTTTTTGAACAACAGAAACAATTGAATGGAAATTTTTTATGTTACATAAAATATTTATTCCATTAAAACAATTAACAGAAAATCACAATTGTTCTGCATGATTGCATGGTGTTAAAAAAGAAAGATTATTGGCAAAACCGCGATAAAGGCGAAAACTTTTTATAAGTTGGCGTATTACAAACGAAAGGAGGTAAGAGTTAGGAATTAGAGGAAGATTTATGTCAATCCAGATACGCGGCAACAAACAACGGGGGACAAGTAATCAAATTTTACCGTAAGATGACGGCAAACACGTCGGATATTTGTCGAACACTTGACAGAACCTCTCCGGCACGATGGTTTTCCGCAGTTGTATGTCTGTGATACGCGCGTCTCTGATTGTGCCTCGGTTAAAAGTGAGTGACAGTAATCGCCACCCAACTGCACTGACAAGTCTAAACTTTTATAAGATCGACGCAATGAAAACATTCGATACTACCTTTAGACAGTGAAGGATTCCTGGTGCAAAGGCGAGACGACGAATGTTTCATTCGGGCCGAGTTATTCAACATGGTTTGTGAATTTATGATAGTGAAATGGAATAAGAAATGATGATTCATGTAGGAAACGTTAAAATGATATTGTCAGAATAATAGAATTTTTTCGAACGAGTGAATATTTGAGAATAAAAAATATTATTGATAGATATATTTAGATTAGTTAGGAAATCTATTGCAAAAAGTTAATATATTATGTTTTTATTCTTATTTTATTTTTTTTTTCTTTGTTTTTAAAAACGTGTCTAGAAGATTTCAATAACTTTTTATATAATAAATAAAAGAATAAAAATCGATCTTATATAATAGATATCATCAAAGTGATTGTTTGCATCGACGCAGCATTGGAATTATTGAATTGATTGAATCAATGAAGCTCATGCACTTATTAGTACTTTTAGAAAACTGAAACTCGTGTATTTATTGCTATTTTATTTTATTATTTTATTTTTATTTTAATTTTTATTATTTTATTATTATTCTTCATATATTACAATAAGTTTTTGTTTCATGTTCATTTTGTAATGATTTTTCTATATTAATCATTGAACAATATATGTAGATATGTTATAACACGAAGTCTAATGTAGTATGAAATGTTAATATCATTAAATGATAATGAACCTCAAGTGAAAGAATAAAAATAGTGGAAAATGTAAATAAGTGTAGATAAATGATGTAAATGTTAAAAAAGAATATATTAAGAAATTTTAAAGTCTGTTAGATTTTTATAAACAATTCAATAAATCATATTATAATTTTGAATGAAAAGTTAGTTTAATAAATTGAATTTATTGAATTTAGCAAATTATTTATATAGTAGAGTATTATATATAATTTGTGTGTATGAAGAATCTCGCCTAACAATTTTAAATATTGCATACATTTTATATATTGCATATCATTTTTTTATTCTTTTTTTACACTTATCTTTCTATTATTATTAATATTATTCTATTATTATCATTTTACATAAGTATACATAAGTTTCTACTTATTTTTCAGATATTCTTGTATCAAATACAAAAAGCTTCTTCTTTATCGTCACATCGATTAATAAATTTACCAGACATTTCGTATCCGGATCAGAGACAAAAATTTCAAAGTATGCATAATCACTGGATCAAGTTTGAAAGTAACGCGTGCCATCAATTGATATTCTCATAAACTAAAATCCACTCGGATGATCATCATTCCAGTGGCAAATTCACGCGTGGAAAGTACGTCGTTATGTGGATAACGTTATTCAGAACGGGTATGGAGGAGGAGAGGAGCAAGTCGATCGTAAGTTTCAAGCCGGTTCGGCAGTTTTGTATCTGGAATGGATGGTTAATCGCTCATTTTCATAATTTTCATTTGCATTTATATCCCCTTATTATTCCAGAACTGAAGTTTCAACCGCGCGTAATGAGATTATTCTGTTCTGCCGGGATGTCAACGCACGCCTAGCTACCGTTGGGCTGACGTGAAACCTGCGCTGAACTTCCGGTTGAAACTTTTACGGTTAATATTCAGTAAAAGGGGGAAGAAAGAGAGAGAACGAAAAGAGTTATGCGCGACAATATGACGCGTGATAAAAATATTAACGGAAACGGGAAACAATTCCTTCCTCTATAATTTTATCCCCCATTTTTTTCATCATTTTGTTCCTTTTGCTTCTCTCGCAAAATAATTTTCCAATTAAACATTTTTAAACGTCAAACTATTATAATATATAAATTTTATTTATTTATATTATTTTGTTCTTTGTTTGTTTCGTCAATATTTTTTTAATGTTTCGTGTTCTCAAGTCTTATTTTTATTCAGTTTATTACTTTTGTTCAATCTAGTGTCATCTAGTCAATAATCAACAATATGTATTATTGTTTTAATTAGAATGAAACATTTAAGCAATCGTAGAAATTTCATTAAAAAAAATTTTTCGAAACATTTGAACTTATGACTTATTTGAACTTATTTGATATTTTATACTATATCTTTTTCCTTTTTTTCTTTTTTTTTTTTTTAATCTAATGTATATCTTCAATAACTCTATATATGTATGCAAATATATTATATGCCTATGCAAAAAATGTGAAAAAATTGTAAAAAAACAATATTATCTAAATTGTGATAAAGGATAAAAATAATATGAACTATTGTTGATATTAATTATGTAAAAACAAGATATACATATATAGAATTACCAAAGACGCCGAATTATAATAAGTTAGTAAAATAAAAAAAAAGGAGTTTTATTGCGAGATTGATTAAGCATCATCAACGTTTTCATATCATCATGATGCTAACGACAATGCTTTGACTTTTGACACCGTTTTACAACTTGTGTCTCGTTCAATAAAAAAGATTCAATGAAAAAGAAACACGAACCGATACAAAAGCAGAA